TAGAGTGAGTTATAATGAGCAATCAGTCTAGCAAGACAAGTTGGAGCCAGATTGTGAAGGGTTTTGTTAAAGGCTACCATGACTAGAATTTTTAAATATATATATTACTGCATACTCTTTGCCCATCTTCTTTTCTGAACAGGTAAAATAAGGTTCCAAGTTAAACAATTTGTCTGAAATGTCAGAGTCAATGATTAGGAAAGGGAACCTAAGCCTCCATACCCTTGCAATTTCTAAGTTAAACACTCAGGCACACTGGAAGCATTCAAGAGAATTCTTAAATTATAAGGTGAATATACTGACATTCTCATATATTTTCTCACTTCTGTCAGCATTCAAATTTATACATTATTTTATCTGATTCCAGCTAACCGTAGAAGGGGGGAAATGCAATAGATAAGGTCATATTTTTCTCTTTTTCCTTCCCAACCTCCAGAATTTGATTTAAGGATTAATCTAAATGTTGGAGTTTATTAAATTAACCTTAAAAAAATCAGAACATTAAACAACCTTCTCTACTAATAAAGATGGATATGTGCTCTGAAACATAAAGTTTCCAAGGGTACTCAATTTTAAAACTTAGTTATATACACACTTATAAATTATATTTGTTATTTTTTAAAAAGGCAACATGGCATGGTGAATAGAGAGCTGACTTTTGAGTTGGTAAGATCTAGGTTCAAGTTCCATCTCTGATATAAATAAGCAGTGTGACCCTGGGCAAATCCCTTAACCTCTCAGTGCCCCCAAGACTCTTAAACAGCCTTTTAAGATGTGTTGACAAATTATCAAACACAATTATTTGAATTATAAGTAAGTATGCATGATGCCCTATTTGGTGCAGATAAGATGTGGGAGGGGCATACCTCTGCAACAAAGTTCAAGATTAAAAAATATCATGTCACAGCTTTAAAAAGCTGAGAACTACTACTCAGTATTAATTATAACACAGAACTATAGAATAACAGAATTTAGCCATAGTTGGAAGGAACCCCGGTAGCCATCTAGTCTGACCCATATACCTGGACTCTTAATAAGCCAGTGGAGACCTTATAGTTCCTTCGTCCTTTTTTTTTTTTATGGAACTGTAATATCTCATATTGAGCTATTTAGTGTGTCTATGCACACACAATACACACACATATATTTGTGTATGGCAATTGTTGAATACAGAACTAACTCCATTTTGTTTGGTTCTTTCCATTTTGTGATTGTGTTCTATTTTGTGAGCTAGATTTTGTTTTGATTATGGGGAAATTAACATGTTGATATAATTCTGTGATATTGGGATAGTAGGTGCTGACTAGAAGATGTAATACATCCATCTCGTGGAATATTTTTATAATTACCACAGAATGTATCAGGATATAATTGAAATAACCACAAGATTGATAAAACTATAGCCAGTCTGAAAGAATGAATTCCCACATTACTCAAGATTGCTTAAGTTAATTAGTCCCTCATTTTGAGTATAAGAAAGCTTTATTAATTGCCAAATACTATCCTTGTGCCTACTGAGGGGCCTTGGACCCATTTGTTATACAAATGCTAGCCTTGCTAATAAATCAGTGTGCTCAGATTATACTTCCTCAGTCTTTATCAATTTTATTCACTGCACATGAGAACACTTTTGGATTTAGAGTCAGAGGGCCTGAGTTCCAATTCCAGTTCTACCATGTAATATTTATGTGACTCAGTTGTATCATCTGCAAAATAAAGAGAGTTAGACCTAGTGACTTCTAAAGTTCCTTCCACTTCTAAATTCATGATCTTGTGATCTAAAAAGAGTGTATGGCATAGTAGGCATGGCAGAGTAGGTTAAAAGGCAGCCTAGGTGTCAAAAAAAAAAAACTAGGATTCAAGTACCACCTCCGCACATATTGATTGTGTGACCTTGGGTAAGTCACTTACCCTGTTACCTCACACAACTGTCTAAGACTATAAATAGCTAACCACGACTTTTTAGCTCCTTAGTCATTTCTTTAGATGGAACTTATTATAGATAGATATAGACATATATACAGATATATAGTATATGTATATATATTTGTCTATATACATATATCCATGTGTATATATGTATTATATATGTACATATGTACATATACACACACACGCGCACACACACACACACACACACACACACACACACACACACACACACACATATATATATACACTTTTGTACATTCCAAATGAGAGGACTTCTAGCTTTGGAATTAGAAGGCCTGAGTTCCAGTCACAGTTCTACCATGTAATAGATTTGTGACCTTGAGCAAGACATTTAATCCCTTTATGATCTCAATTTGCTCATCTGTAAAATAAGGGCTTAGATCTGGGTGACCTCTAAGGACACATTCATCTCTAAATTTATGACCCTGTAATCTAAGAGTCAGCATGGTCCAGTATAGAAGGTCAGCCAAGGAGTAAGGAGCAGCTGGGTTCAAGTACCACCTCTGAGACACTAGCTGTGTGACTAGCTGTGTAGGTCTCCCAGGCTCTTAGTGTGCCACACTGCCGTCTAAGACTAAAAACTACAGAAACAGTGCTGATCTCTATTAATAAAGCAAGCTCCACACCAGAAGGTCTCTATACTCATGAACTCCAAAGTCTGATCTTAAAAAAAAAAATCTAAGAATCTCAGCTGTGACATGGACTAAGCATTGTGTGGATTGTCAGAAACTTAGGTCCCAATACAGTTCGAATCCACCTCTCAGACCTCGGTTTCCTCATCTGTAAAATAAAAAAGTTGGACTAGATGTTGTTAAGGTCCCTTACAGTTCTAAGTCCTTCAACCGGGAACTTTAATGGTATGCAAGTATTTATAACATAGTACAGCCATGGACAGGACCTCTGCCATTTAAAATTCTGTATACTATGCTGTGTATAGTTAGAGTAAGACTGAAGAGTTTCTGAATAACAAAAAAGAACTGGATAAATTTGATATCCAGATGAGTAGGGCTAGATAGAGTCTTTTCATAGCCTAAAGAAGTTTTAAAGGTTAAAGGAGTTTTGTTTTTGTTTACTTTTTTGAAAACAATGCAAAGAATTTATTTTTCGCTTTAAAAAAAATCAGGCATTATGAAATAGAGATTCGACTTCATATAGGATCCTATTTTTAGGTTTCAAACTGTTCAGTGTTTGGTTGTAGAATTCATTAGGAAATCAGCATCAATCTGTTTGGGAGCTGTCCTCAGTTTTTGTTTTTGTTTTTTTGTTTTCTTTTTTCCTTTCTGGATCTAGTTTTCCAACCTTTACTAAATCTGTTATTCTCTAAACTCTCCACAGCCCCTTTAAATTGTGAAGCCCTGAACTGAAATGGTTTATTAATTGAAGCCTGATCAGTGCAGTGTATGCTGGGAGAACTAACCTCATTTTATTTTGTTCGTACATCCCAGCAAAGACAGGAGGAGGAAGGGTTCATCAGCTAGTTTCTGATCTATCTGGCTATGTATCATTACAATGCAGACCCACCTGAGGCAACAGCCTCTGCCAAGGTGACCTACCTCCATACTGCCTTCAAGGTCCGTTCTTCCAAACTCTCTCCTTGGTTTTCTGAGCCTTGGATATTGTCTTCCTCAGCACATGGTTTGTTCCTCTGGTGCTTGACCTTATGCCATAGAATAGTCAAGAAAACCACCCCTCTAGACTAGCCCTGTCCCATGGTACCCAGGGGCAGCCAGGAGAAACAAATACATGAACTGAGAAGAGTTGTACAGGAGAACCTGCCAGCTTTTTGTTTTTTTTTTAAATCTGAGGAGCCATTAACAAAGTTGAAAACAATAACTCCAGATCACCAGAACTAAAGATCATGGTAGAAGGTGCATTGGCTCTGGAGTCACCAGATCTAGGTTCAAATTGTGCCTCTGGCTCTTAGTACCTGTGTGACCTTGAGCAAGTTGTTTTACCTCTGGGCCTAAATTTTCTCACCTGTAAAATGGAGGAGGGTTGGATTAATTGGCCTCTGAGCTACCTGCTAAGTTTAGATCTATGATCTTATATAACAGAAGTAATATTAGTATCCATTAGTTGAGAAAATACATAATGACAAAAAAAGCTGCTCTGGATACAGCAGTGCTTTTAAATGAATTCATATCTTATTCATGACAATTTCCACAAAATTGTTTTTCTAAGCGGCATTTGCAGAGAAAGAGGAGCTAGAGGCAAGAATTAAGAATGTCCAAATTGTGTCAACATGTACTTTGTATTGCATTTACATACGTGTAGTACTTGAGTTATTTGGAGGCCCTCCAGAGTATGTCAAAGCACACACAAGAGGAAGAAATGGTTTGCCAGTTCCTCTTGGGTACACCTGCTAGAATACAGAAGAGAAGGTTAAAAGATCAAACGAAAGTACTATGAAGAAATGCTCCACAAAAATTGAAAGAGAGAGAACATTTTTATTTAGGAGGATCAGGGTCACATATGGATAGAATCCTGTTTTGATGAGTTAATTGATGCATCTGTAGGGCGATGTTCTATCAGAGCTTACTTAGAATGAAAAAGTGATGGCCGATAAAGGAATGGGGGGAAAAAAACTGACACAGAACTAGAAAAGCATGGAAATATGAGAGCATTTAGTATCAGAACAGATAATCCATTTAGATTCAAATAGGAGTATATCATATATCCAGGGTTGGAAGGGACTTCAGGCTATCTAGTCCAATGCCTTCATTTCAAAGGCCCAAGGAGTTGCCCAAGGTTACTCTGGGAGTAACAGAATTGGAATTTGTAACCTCAGTGGTCATCTGAGGCCAGGGCCGATGCTCCTTCCACCGTACCATTGAATTCAGGCTAGCCTGATTGCAAAGGCTTGGAGATCATCTAACTGAGTCCCTCACTGTTACCAGTAAGCCGTAAGGGCTCATTCTGTAAACATAGATATGAGTACAAAATTGGTCATGGAGGATTTCACAGACACTGGACCTAATGACGTTGTGCTTTGATGGATATCCTAGTACCTGTGATTAATAGGCTATTTATGTTCTTGTTACCCACAGTCTATCAGGATGCCCACGAGCCACATCAGCCATGAAGAAAGCAAAGTTGTCAGGAGAACAAATGCTAACGATAAAGCAGCGGGCCAGTAATGGTAAATGCTCAGTCTTTATGTTTTTAATTGCATCTGTCAGTCAGGGAAAAGGGGTGGAATGAGGGAAGCAAAACCTGGATAGTTACTGGGAATGGGTTAGGGCCGGGGATGGGGGGAGAGAATAAGCATTTATATAACATCTACTGCATGCTAGTCATTGTTCTAAGCACTTTATAAATATAATCTCTTTTGATGCTCACACAACTTGGGAGGTAGATACCATTATTATTCCCATTTCACAGATGAGGAAACTGAGGCAAACAGAGGTTAAGTAACTGGCCCAGAGGCACACAGATAGTTAAATGTCTGAGGCCACATTTAAAATCAAGACTTTAGTCTTGGTTTTCCTCTTTGCTTTGAAATAGTGTAATATCACTAAGGATCCTTTTCAGTACCAAAAAAGCCTGAGGTACAAATAACTTTGTCCATCCATACACCTGATATTGTTGAAAGGAGAAAATAATAAATACCAGCAGTGAGAACACAGTGTGATGTGGTACAATGGAAGATGTGTTGAATTTGGAGCTAGAGAGCCTGGACTAAAATTTCAGCTCTTCCACTTACTGAGTGATCCTGGACAAGTCTTTTCAGTTATTTGAGTCTCAGTCTCTTCATCTATAAAATGAGGGGGTCAGACTAAATTATCTCATAGGTACTTTTCAACTCTTAATCTATAATACTAGATTACAGTATTTGTATAGAATTACATAAATTAAATATATGTACATCAATTAATATAGTTCCATCTGGGCAAGGTTCTTATGTCAGAAGTGAGGAGAAAAATATCACTTTTCTTTGTAGAGGTAAGGGAGGTGTCACTTGAGCTGAGGCCTTGAAGGAAGAGAAGGTTCTTACTAAGTGGAAGTGAGGGAGAGAACCCATCATTCTAAGCAATACTTTCCTGAGCTGAGTTTTTAAGGGCTCCCCCTAATCTCCAGACACTTCCTCTACAACAGCCTTGCTAAGTTCCTAGCCATTCACACCAAAGCCCATGCCTGTAAGAACTTGGGACCTGGGGCTCCGCTCCCTTCATTGGTGACTGCTTCTAGACGACAGCTGGTTAGCACAGTGGATAAAACTCTGGACCTGAAGTCAAGAGATCCTGAGTTCAAGTCTAGGCTCAGAAACTTAACTACCTTCGTAACCCTAGGCAAGTCACTTAACTTGTGTTTGCCTCAGTTTCCTCATCTATAAAATTAATCAATCAGTAAACATTTATTAAGTGCCTTTTGTGTGCCAGGTACTGAACTAAGTGCCAGATACAAAATGAGGTACAAGAAAGTACCTGCCCTCAAGAAGTTTACAATCTGATGAAGGAGACAACATGCAAACAAATATATACAAACAAGTCATATACAAGATTAATAGGAAATAATTAACAAAGGAAAGGCACTATAACTCAGAGGGGCTGGGAAAGACTTTGTGTTAAAGACAGGATTTTAGTTGGGATTTAAAAGAAGCCAGGGAGGTGGAGTTTTAGGAGGGAGAAGTTCCAGGCATATTATTATCTCATTAGTTCAAGTATTATCTCTGTACAGATGACTCCCAAGTCTACCTAGCCAATCTAATTTCTCTACTGAATGCATCTTCATTTGCCAGCTGTTTATTGGACAGTTCCATCTGGGTGTTTCATAGGAATCTCAAACTCAACACATCAGGAAAGAAATTCATTAAATTTTCATCCATCCCCAAACATCATTATCCTTCCAGTGTCCCAGATTTGCAACCTTCCTCACTTTCCATATCCAGTCATTTGTCAAATCCTGTCAATTCTACATGCATACCATCTCTTGCATCTGACCTCTTGTCCCTGTTTACATAACACTAGCTTCATTCAGTCCCTTATTACCTCTCACCTGAACTACAGTAATAACTCTCTAATTGATTCCAATGTCTCCTCTGATGTATCTTCCACATAGCTACCAAATTTTACTCCTAACATGACAACACACACACACACACACACACACACACACACACACACTACCAAAAATAAGATCATAGAATCATAGATTTAGAGCTAGAAGGGACCTTAGAGGCCATCAATTATGGCCTGTGCTTGGCCTAGTACATTGCCTTGGTAGTTCAGATTCAATAAAGGAATAAAATGGGATGCTCATGGATCATTCAACAGTTAACAAGAATAGATTTACTTAGAACAAGAGAAAGATATTTAACAAGGTTAGACATTGAGGACACCTTGAGTTGATTCCATTGAGCAATGCTTCTTACAGTAAATTACTCATCCTGATCTACCAGCCAAGTATCAAAGTACTCCTCTAGTTTCTTGTAACTGCTTTGTATTCAGGCAATGAGGAAGTGATGTCAAGAGTCCCATCAGCCTAAGTCTCAAGAAAGGTCTAAATCAATACCTTTTAAGGAGCAAAAAAATAGCCTAACTTTCATGAGGAGAAGAGTTAGGGCCTTGTTCAAACTATACTGTCCAGTCCAACCCCTTATATTTGCAGATGAGGAAACTGAGTCCCAAGAAAGGTTGGAACTTGCTTAAGGTTACACAGAGGTCAGATTTCAAGGCAGGTTTTCTAACTCCAAAGCTGTTGATTTTTCCTTTCCAAGAGTAGATTACATCATTTTACCTTGTCTTCCCTTACTCAAAAATCTTCAGTGGCTCATAACTACCTCTAAGTTACTGAACATTTAAAGCTCTCCACCATCTGGCTTCCATCTGTCTTTTCAGTCTTGTTTTTTCTCCCTTTCCTTCATGTGTTCTGCATTCTAATAGTACTGGCCTACAAGTCCTTCTGTATACCACATGCCATCCCCTGCCATTGCACAGTTGTCCTCACTTCTGCCTCTTAGGATGCCTCATTTCCTTCCAGGCACAGATGAAGTGCCATCTTCTATTCCAGAAGGTCTTTTTACATCCCTCTGGGTGCTCTCCTTCCTGAAATCACTTACATGTATTTTGTACATGGTATACATACACACCCACACACACACACTCACACCAGGTGCAATCTATGCTCCTTGAAGACAGGAAGCATTTTATTTTTATGCCAGCAACCACAGCACTTTGCATGGTGCCTTACACTTAGCAAGTACTTAATACATATTTGTTGCATTGAATTGAATGGAGCATCACATTTTGAATGACATTAAGAAATTGATTTATGTATAAAAGAGAGCAACCTGGAAAGACTTGAACTTGTATCATGGGAATGGCTAAAGGAATTTGAATGTGCAGGTTTGTCACATGAAAATGAAATTAAATTGGTGACACTACAGAGAATAGAACTGGGACTACAGATGGAAGTTTATATCATCATGTGCTGCTGCAGATTTAAGTTCAGCATAATGGAAAACTTTCTAACAATTCAAATCTTCCAAACAATAAAATGGGTCTTTTTTCATGCAGTAGTGAGCTTCCCTTCATTTGAAACAGAGACTAGATGACTACTTTGAAAGAAGTTATAGAGGTGATTTATGGAGGGGATACAGTTAAGTGGGCCTGAAAGAGAGGGGAACAAAGCAACCAGGAGGTCTGTGACTCACAGAGAAGGTGACCTTGGTGATGTTCATCAACCACTCCCAGATATAGGACACACACACACACACACACACACACACAAATGTTCCCAGATAAAAGAGGCACATACAATCCTGTCCCCCATACTCTCTGAAGTCCTACCCATCCATACATGTGATAAGGAACTTATGAGCTGTGAGACTAAAGGGCTTTCAATCAAGAGTCCTTTCTCAGACACTCACATAGGGAACATGTTCTTGCTTCTACGCTGTCGCTACCCCAAGAAGCCTCCAGTCACTCAATACCTTTGCCCTTTGAATGAGAGGCCAAGGCCCTGGAAGAGGGAGCTAGTCCCTATGGCTTTGATAATCTAGTCAAACCCCCTCATTTGACAGATTGAGAAACTGAGGTCCAGAAAGAAGAAAGGAATTGTCCAAGATCATACAGCAAGTAGGGGGCAGAGGGGAAGAGTATCAGCTATAGGGAGACCATGCCATGCCCCTGGCCTCTGGGACACAAGATTGGACAACAGACATGGTGGGCTGCCTACAGCACCAGTAATGAGGGCAAGAAGAAGGGAAGTTGGAGATCAGGGTACAAACTGGGATATGCTCCCTTATCTAGTTGTGGAGAGGGCTTATCTCTTTCCCAAGGCCTCCCACCCTTTCACCCATTTGTATCCCCCCACGAGAAGGGTTGGGAACAAATCTGGTTGACTAATGGACCTTGACCCTTGACACGAACAAAAATAGTCTACTTCCCCTTCTTGCTGAGATGAGGGGGGAGGCATTTGCGTGCATACTCAGGAACACGTGTGCATTCACAAGCACACATACAAGCACGCGCCACATACACACACACACACACACACACACACACACACACACACACACACACATACACATACACACACTTTGGTCTAGCCACCAGACCCTAACTCCTGCAGGCAGCCATAGGGCTGGTCTAGGTCCCCTTGGCAGACATTTAGGTGGGGGGGAGGGGAGAGGAGGGCAGGAAGAAAAAGAAGAGTCAAAGATGATTCCAAAATGTTAAGACTTGATTATTGGGAGAAAGGTTCACATGAACAGAAATTATAAGCTAAAAAGGGGGACATGAGAGGATAAGATGATAAGAATAGCATCTGGAGTGAGTCAACCAAGGCTTTGCCCCAGAGGACCAAAATTTTGGGCATGCAAAATTTAACACATACTCTTTTTCAGCAACATAGAAAAACCTAATTAATAACTAAAAGCTTGGCCTCTAATTAGCAAAAATAACTAGATACAATAGGAAACTAATAGATCTTATTAATAACAGCCATCTGTATGCCATTATCCATGTTATTTTCATATTGATGGGTTGCATGCTACTTGCTTTGTGCATATTTTGTGCTGTTTGCTCAAGGCACCTGAATAACTAGCTATGTCTTGCATGATGATTTCATTTTTGATGTGCTGAGTTTCAGGTGTCAGAGGGACCTCCATTAGACGGTTAGATTGCTGACATCTCTTTA